CTGGCAAGCCACCAACCACCTGTGGTAGTGAAAGTCTCCTGCTAGTCACTGAGACAGAGCAAGAGTGTGAGAAGGCCATCCTAGACCTCCTCTGGGAACTGGAGAGACTAGGTTAATGAGTCTCTGCCAAAAAGACTGTGCAGCACTACAGCAACCTACCTGGGGTATGAGTTACAAGGGGGCCAACATGCCCTCTCTAAGAGCAGGATCAAGGCCATCCTCCACATCCCACCACCAACTACCAAAAGGCAAGTATGTGAATTCTTGGGGGTAGTCAGTTATTGTTGACTATGGATTCTGGGCTTTGCTGAGATAGCCAAGCCCCTGTACTCAAGTACAAGTGGAGGTGACAAACCCCTCCAGTGGGGACAGGCTGAACAGGATGCCTTTAACCAACTCAAACAGGCTCTCACTTCCACCCCTGTCCTGGCCTTACCTGACATTACTAAACCTTTTCAACTCTTTGTGGTAGAGACTAAGGGCATAGCAAAGGGAGTCCTAACCCCAGCTCTGGGTCCATGGAAGAGACCCATTGCTTACCTTTCTAAGCCACTAGACCCAGTTGCCTCAGGGTGGCCAAATTGAATGAGAGCCATTGCTGCCACAGCAGAGCTGGTCAGAGAGGCAAAGAAACTAACCTTGGGTCAAGACATGCAGGTAGTTGGGGGCCACACCATGGGGGCTCTTTTAAGGAGCCCCCTGACCACTGGATCTCCAACTCCTGGGTCACTCAGTACCAGGTATTGCTTCTTGACCCTCCCAGAGTGACTTTCCTCAAAACAGCCATCCTGAATCCAGCCACCCTCCTGCTGGATGACAATCCACAGCAACCCATTCACGATTGTGCACATACACTGGACACCCTTTCTAGCCTGTGACCAGACTTGACAGATACACCTCTCCAAACCCCTGACCTGAACCTGTTCACAGATGGGAGCAGCTACATCCATGAAGGTAGGCAAGTGGCAGGGGAGGCAGTCACAACCCACACAGAGGTACTCTGGGAATAGGCTCTGGGACACGGACTTCAGCCCAGAAGGCAGAGTTTATTGCCTTAACACACCCCTGCACTTGACCAAGGGAAAAGCAACCAATATATATACTGACAGCCAGTATATATTTTCCATAGCCCATGTCCATGGGGCCTTGTATAAAGAAAGGGGCTCCTAATTTCTGGGGGAAAGGACATTAAAAACAGAGAAGAAATCCTTGCCCTGCTAGAAGCTATGTGGCTGCCAAGCCAGCTTGCCATCATCCATTGTCAAGGATATCAAAGGATAGACATGCCCATTGCACAGGGAAATGCACTGACCGATCAGACAGCTAAAGTGGTGGCCCTAAAACAAGTGGGGCCCCTCTATTTCCTCCCAATCCTACCAGACCATCTTCTGCCACCCCCACCAGTTTACTCAGAAACAGACAGAGAAGAAAGCAAACACCTGAATTGCTTAACGGGCCCCAGGGACTGGCTAATCTGCCCAGATGGTCGCCCCTTCCTCCCAGAAGTGTTAGGAAGGCAACTTGTTGACCAACTGCCTCAAGGGACCCACTTGGGGTCCACAAAACTTACTCAGCTCATCTCTAAACAGCTGTACATCCCCATCTTCAAAAATGGACCAAGGATGCAGCCTCTAGATGCCTCCCCTGTAACAAGGTTAATGCTGCCTAAGTGCCTCAGCACATGGGATCACGTCTCTGGGGAACTAACCCAGGGGAACATTGGGGACTGGACTTCACTGAAATCAAGCCAGGTCAGTATGGGTACAGATATCTATTAGTTTTAATTGATACTTTCTCAGGATGGCCAGAAGCATTCCTTTGCAAAAAGGAAACAGCCTTAACAGTGGCAAAACACCTCACTCACATTATCCTAAGATTCGGCTTGCCCCTCATCCTGGAGTCTGACGATGTCCTGGCCTTTATAGCCCAGGTTTCCAAAAATTTGGCAGCCACCCTAAACATTACATGGAAATTACTTTGCAGCTATAGGCCTCAGAGTTCAGGGCAGGTAGAGAGGATGAATAGAACATTAAAGGAAATGTTAACTAAATTAGACATAGAAACTGGCGACAACTGGGTGGACTGCCTCCCATTCGCCCTATTGAGAGCCCCATGCACACCTGACTTCCAAAGTATAACTCCCTTTGAAATAATCCATGGAACTCCACCCCCAATACTCCCAAGATTAACTGATGAATTATTGGCCCCCATCCATAACCAAAAACTTATAAGTTCCTTACAAGCCCTGCAGAAACTGCGCAAAGATCTCCAAGAGGCCATCCAGCTGGTCAGCTCTGAAGCCACTAATACCCTAGAGCAGCTACACAACCTCTAACCTGGAGACTGAGCTTGGGTAAAGAGACATAACCCTGAAACTTTAACTCCATGTTGGGAAGGGCCTTACCCTCTTATTTTAACTACTCCAACAGCTAGCAAGGTTGGAGGAAAGAAGATGTGGATCTACTACACCCACACTAAGAAGGCCGCAGAGAACCACATCCCTGCAACATGACACTCTGAACACACTGGGGATCCGTTAAAGCTCCAGTTACACAGGTCTCCTTCCTCATCCTCACCTGCCTGCTCCACACCAACAAAGGGACCAGCAGAAAAGGAAACTATAACCAGCACCAACCAGTCCCCCATGACTGGATCATCTCCTGGACTGTAGATGGCACAGAAGTAGCCCATGTCTCAGCTCCATGGATCCTCCACAAGACCAAGGACAGCAGTGTAAAAGCAGCTGACATCCAGCCTGTCTTCCATTTTGACCTCTGCACCCTATTTGGCTATGGCTGGACCAGAGCCACATGGACCAGGTATGGAGGAAAGGGGGATGACATCTGGAGTTGCATGAGCCAGAGTTGCATTGGCCCAAGAACTAAGAAATATTGACTTTTATTTATGCCCTTCAAATGAGGTAGTGTTTGGAAGAGGTGGGAGGAGGTGTGGAAATGTGGAATATTATTAGTATAGAGAGTGGGGCTGTGAAACCTTAGGATCAAGGAATACGAACAAGGATTACTGGCTAGAGTTTCAAAGAATGTATCTGACAAGTGGCTGTACCTCAAATAGTAATTCCAATCCCATTGGGCTATTAGTGAAAGACTGGTGGAGTCCAACTGGGAAGCAGGTCAAACTTGGGGCATCAGATTATATGTTAGTGGGTGAGACCCTGGCTTTTGTTCACTATTCAAAAGGTCCCCCAGCCACTTCCTATTAAGCCAATAGGGCCAAACACTATACTTAACCTGGAGCTCCCTGAGGCTGCCACAGCAGCCCCTATCCCCACCAGCTCTAATCAAGCCCCCTCCAATCAAGCCCCAAATCATACCAATATAGGCCCAGGAACACCACTTCAAACAAATGCCCTCACATCATTCAGAGGCCCCACATCATTCAAGGCATCTCCCATATTTACTCTTTTAGATGCAGTATATAATTTTGCAAATATTACAAATGCAAATTTAACAAATGATTGCTAGCTTTGCCTTAACCCAGCCCCACCATATTATGTAGGAGTAGCTGCTAATGCAACTTTAGGACATAACCCAATCCAAATAATGAACACTTCAACCAGTATGTTAAAACAGAATAGCAGTATATGTACCTGGGGTTCCACACCTACTTTAACATTAGGGGACTTGCAAGGACAAGGGTGGTATGTGATATCCTCAAGATACCCCTTACACACCTTCCCCTACCATATCCAACTTAGTTTTCCCCACAGAGAATTCCCCCTACTACTTAGTAGCTCCTAAAGGAACTTGGTTTGCATGCTCCACTGGTTTAACCCCATGTGTAAATGCTTTATTTTTATATGACACTCCTCAGATTTGTATACTGACTCACATCATCCCCCAAGTTTACATTTACTCTGGGGAAGGAGGTAGGGAGCATTTTTTTTGGCCTGCAAAGACAGACCAGGGCCCCCATTCTAGTACCCCTGCTAATAGGCATAGGATTAGTAGACTTGCCAGCCATAAGTGCCATGGCACTGGCCACCGGCCCCCTTAGCACAGGTTTTAAGGCTCTCAAAACTCAGATTGATTCAGATCTCTGAAATTTAGAAGCCTCTGTCTCCCATCTGGGGAAGTCCATGAACTCATTGGCAGAAGTGGTTCTGGAGAACAGGAGAGGACTGGACCTGCTTTTCTTAAAACAAGGAGGCCTTTGCATGGCCTTGGGGAAAATTTGTTGTTTCTATGCTAATCACTCTGGAGTTATAAGAAACAGTTTGGCCCTAGTCAGAAAAAATTTATCTGAAAGAGAGGAACAACGTAAAAAGGAGAATAACTGGTATGAAAATTTATTTAATTGGTCCCCATGGCTAACCACCCTAGTATCACCTGTAGCAGACCCACTTCTCCTCCTTTTTATTAGAATAACTTGTGGCCCCATCATTTTTAACCACTTCATGACATTCATACAACAGAGATTTAAAGCTATAAAATTAATGATCTTAAGTACGCAGTACCAGCTAATCCCTGATGACCTTGGGGGCAACAGGGAAATGTAGGTCTACATTAAAGATTCAATTACCAATAAAACCAGTGGGGACTGTAATAGCTGAGCCTCCCAACCCTTAACCCCCCGAAACTAGTCGAGGACCCAATAAGCTCCTTACCCCCGATGAGGAATTTCTCTCACCCTTTTAGCCTCAGCCCCCACAAGGGAGGAGAAGCTAAAATCTGGGAAGGAGCCTGAAGATAAGAAAAGGAAGGAAGGAGTGGATTCCAAGGAAAGCTCCAGGTGAAAAAGGTACCAAGCTATTCTCAGGAAATTTACCCAACATTTGTTCTGTGCCCCCTGAACTATGTAACCCTCATCTTATGACCTATGAAGTAATGAACTTGTGATGTACTTTGTGATTCATGAACCAATATGTACCGCCCACCCTGCAGCCCTGCATTGACCACTCTGATTGCCTTCTGTATTGCGCTAGCTTGCTGACCTGGCAAAATAATAGTGTAAAAAGACACTTCACCTGCCAGTTATTGCTAAACGCCACTATGGTGTTCTAGCTCGCCTACAGGTGTAATAAATTTTATCAGTTATTGCATCAAAGTGGGTCCACCTTTTTATCTTCAGGGCTCTGTCCCATTTCAGTTGTACAAGCAACAGTGTGTAAGTGTTCCTTTCTCTCTGCATCCCTGCTAACACTTGATGTGGGACTTTCTGATTCTATGATAAGAATGCTTAACAAAATAAGCATAGGTGGGACTTACCTCAAAATTATAAAAGCAAACCCAAAGCCAACATCATACTGAATGGGGAAAAAAAATGAAAGCTTGTCCTCTACTGCCACTTCTATTCAACATAGTGCTGAAAGTCCTAGCCAAAGCAATCTGACAAGAGAAAGAAATAAATGGTATCTCTGTGGAGAATGATGATATAATGTTTGCTGACAACATAATCTTACATCTAGAAAACCCTAAAGATTCTACTAAGAAACTCTTGTAATTAATTAAAAAAAAAAAAAACACAGCAAAGTTTTGGGTTACAAAATCATTGCACAAAAATCAGTAGGATTTATATACACCACCAACAGTCAAACAGAGAACCAAGTCAAAGACACAGTTTCTTTTGCAATAGCAACAAAAATAAAATAAGTAGGAATACATGTAACTAAGGAGGTGAAACTTCTATGAGGAGAACTATGATATGGTGAGGACAGAAATCACAGAGGACATCAACAGATGGCAATACATAGCATGCTCATGGATCAGTATAGTTTTCATTGTGGAAATGTCTACAGTACCCAAAGCAATCTACAGGTGTAATGTAATCCCCATTAAAATACTAACATCATTTGTCACAGAAATTGCCATAATAGTTCTAAGCTTCATATAGAACTAGAAAAGACCCTGAATAGCCAAAGCAACCTTAGGCAATAAGAACAAATCAGGAGGCATCACTTTACTAGAATTCAAGCTTTGGCACAAATAAGGAAAATAGCATGATACTGGCACAAAAACAAACACAGCCCTATAGATAAGAAAAGAGAACCCAGAGATAAAACTATTCTCTTACGTCCAACAGATCTTTAACAAAACAAATAAAAACACGCACTGGGTAAAAGAATCCCTCTTCAGTGAATGGTGCCGGGAAAACCAAATAGCCACATGCAGAAGACTCAATCAGGATCAGGACCTCTCATCACTCGCAAAACTTCATTCATGATGGATAACAGACTTAAACCTAAGACAGGAAACGGTAAGAATTCTGGAATAAAATGTTCAAAAACTTTTCTATATATTGGCCTGGGCAAAACTTCATGAAAAAGATCCCAAAGATGGCTAGGCATAGCTCATGCCTGAAATCCTAGCACTCTGGAAGGATGAGATGGGTAGATTTCCTGAGCTCAGGAGAGTGAGACTCAACTTCTAAAACTGGATTGGTGTTGTGGCAGGCACCTGTGGTCCCAGCTACTCCGGAGGGTGAGGCAAGAGGATCGCTTGAGCCCAAGAGTTTAAGGATTGCTGTGAGTTGTGATGCCATGGCACTCTACCTAGAGTGACAAAGTAAGACTCTGTCTCAAAACAAAACAAACAAACAAAAAAACCATAATGAACAAAACCAGATGCAATCACAGTGATTAAAAAAAAAAATTAACCAAAGGGACTTGATTAAATTAAAAGCCAAGGAAACAATAGAGTAAACAGAAGACCCACAGAATGGGAGAAAAATTTTGCATGCTATACTTGGACAAAGGACTAATAACCAGAATCTATAAAGAACTATTATCAGCAAGAAAAAGTAAACAACTCCTTAAAAAAGTAGGCAAAAGATAGAAATAGAAGCTTTTTGAAAGAAGAGAAACTAAAGGCCTGTAAACACATGATAAAATGCTGAAAGTCTCCCCATCATCAGGAAAATGAAAATCAAAACCACAATGAGGTCTCCTCTCATCCCAGTGAAATTGGACATTTTATTTGTGTGCAGTTTATCAAGTGTCAGTTTTGCTTCACGAAAGCTACTGATGGCAGGAGCAAACACCAAGATAGTGGCTGGGACACACACAGAGAGAAGGGCATGATATGAAGCAGGATAAAGCTAGAGAGCTGACATCTTTAACTTTATCACAATGAGAAGTGGTAGCTATGGGTTTTGAAGGAAGGCGGCAACAAGATCAGATCAGACTTTTTTAAAAGCATAGGATACAGTGTAGAGTAGACAGTGGTTTTAGGAGGTGGGTAACAGGGAAAACAGTTCTTAGGGGACTGCAGTATTCCAGGTGGAACATGATGATAAACTGACTGTGGGGAAAGGCACAGGAGGAAAGGAGAATTGAGTAGAAGACAGAATTGTCACTTACAGTGAGAAAAGCACAGTGGAATCATCACAGCTCCTTGGCCAAGAGTGTGCCACATATACTATAGTTCTCACTCTGTTTTAACATGAAGTGTATTTGTGAGATGAACATCATTCTAATACATCAGTGCTCTGTGGAAGTGCTAAGCAAAGTGTGCACGCACTACTGTCATATGAAAAGGCCGTGGGCGGGTCCTACCTTTACAATGCATTGCAAGTTGTTCAATGAGCAAAGCACAAGCCTTGGGATTAAAGGCCGGCAACAACTGATCCTCTGAGGCCATTTCAGATGACCAAGTCAAGTCTTCAAGGTGATCCTGGGAATGTATATGAGTTTCTCCCTGTGAAATAAGTGACATTGTTTCAATATCACTTCAAATATCCCTCAATAATTATAGCATGGGCTAAATGTAGAAAATTGGTAATTACCTATTTTTTTAATATGAGTCCACACAAGTACTTCTTCAAATAATTGATTTTTTTAAAAAGGCTATTTATTATTACTATTCCTTAATGATTTTTTTAAATAAATGTCTTCAAAAGTAAAAATTCTCTATTTTTTTAACTTTATCTTTTATACTGTATTTTTCAGTAATATTTCTGATAATTTATTTTTTAAATAATACCTTGTTCTTTTCATGAGATGTTTTCTTTGCAGGCCTAAGAAAAGAAAAAAATTCCTTTCAGAGAAATAGTAATAGTAAAATATAAATACATCTAAAACTATTTTTTATATGAAATCTCTGCAGTTGTAATTTCAAAAATAAAAAACTCATATTCAAAAAGTTTACAGGGCATTTTTGCATGTAATGTGAAATATATTAATTTTCTACAAAGGGGATTAAACTATAAATATAAATAGAGCAACAGTGACAAAAGTGACTCTTGCTAATAACAATGCAAAGAATTACACTACATTCAGCTTTCTGATAGTCAAAAGGTAAATCATGTTAGTTCCAGTATTTGATTGCAATAGATATACCAGGATAATTTTTTATTTATTTATTTTTTTCAATCACCACAGGCTTTTCTGGCACTAAAATCTATTTGGAAGAACATTACTTAACTCCTTATATAGGAGAAACCCGTTTATAATGATGACAGGGATCAGCATTTCCAGGATGTAGACACAGTTACTATGCATTCGGCAAAGCACTGGGCACAGGTGAAACTCATTTACCAGCCAAACACAGTCTCTGAGGTGGGTAGTACATTAGGTATTTTATAAAGGAAGACAAAAGGCACAGACAGGCAAAGTAACTTGTCCAAGCCCATCAGATGGTCAAACTCAAGAATTCAAGCTCCACAACCTGTGTTTCACAACACGCTCTGAAAGTGATATTTGTTTTCAATTGTTTTTAAGTGATATGATAGCTGATAAATCCATATAATCATTCCACTTCTGGCTATAGGTTATTATTTCTGAAACTTGGAAATACACTTTATTAAAATAAGAAGACTTTATGTTTGGGCAATTGTGGAAACTTACTTTCTAAGAAATTAAACACTCATTTTCTTTCTAAAGAAATCATAATTCGTCTATTCAATAGTCTAGTCATGTGTTCAACAAATACTTGCACAACGCATGTCAATGACACCATGATACAGGGGTAAACAGCTTGCTTTTCCACTGGACATAAATGAATTCCTTCCTTTCTCCCCAGAATCTAACCAACCATGAAGTTGATATACCTAACATTTTAGTACCTTACCAAATTACAGCTCTCTGTGGTGCTACCATCAGAAACAGGTGACCCATACAATCACAAAAGAATGATGAGTATATGTATGAGTGTATGTTTATTATTACATCACTTAAAAAGCTATATAGGATTTTTTTTTTTTTTTTTTTGTGGAGACAGAGTTTCACTTTGTTACCCACCCACGGTAGACTGCTGTGGCATCACACAGCTCAAAGCAACCTCCAACTCCTGGGCTTAGGTAAATCCCTTGCCTCAGCCTCCCGAGTAGCTGGGACTACAGGCGCCTGCCACAATGCTCAGCTATTTTTTTGTTGCAGTTTGGCTAGGCTTGGGTTTGAAACTGCCACCCCCATACACCCTACACACTGAGCCACAGGCATCGCCCTACATATGATATTTTAACTTCAAGTTATCATCAGCATGTTCAAGTGCATTCGAATATTCCATGTCAGAATCAATTCTGAAAAGATACCCTCTTACCAGAAAACTATATATAAAAAGAACTTCTAAGGACAATTATTTTAGCATATATCTTTAAAATATGAAGTATCAAAATTTCTAATGCTTAGATATACAAAAAACCTAAATTTTATAAGCATGTTCTTTTCTTATGTGTTTCTTGTCTTACAAACACACTTAGAAAACATTTATTTTAAAATGAGAAAAGGATAAAACTACTATGAATCCCACATTTGTCTTTTCTTTTTCACTTATCCCTCATTTCTCTATTGACTCTCCCAGTACAAATTTTCTAAGAGTTGTTTACATGTATTCACTACAGCCAGTGTTCCATGATAAATATTTATTAAAACTGCTTCTTTTCAAATTAATTAGTCCTCATCTTTATTAACTTTTCAGCAGTGTTGATATAGTCGAGAATTCTCTAGCTTTGGCCGACCATACTACTCTAATATCAGAAAAAGTAAGCACTCTTCACATTCTTTCACAGGGATATAAAGTACTGGATGATTTTACCTTCCTTCACTTAACCTGCAGTTATCATTCCTTTGGAGCAGATCACTAGTTAGCAAGTTAGCCTCCTCAAGCACTGGTGTCATCTTAGATTCTTTTGAGGTCCATTTTTCTTTTTTCTTTTTCCTTACTTTCTTCATATACAAGGCACGACCACTACTTTAGAAATGCATAAAAAGAAAATGTTTTTTAATGATGCTACTGACAAAGAACAAAAACTTTTTGTAACTTTCCACACCTACTCATTTAGTAATTCAAGAAACAGGTATGGAGTACAAATAACATTCAAATAAATTAATATTCCCTGCTTTGAAAAAATAGGTAAATGTACAATTATAAGGCAATTGGCTACATATGAGTTGATCTAGGAAGACGTCTATCCAAATACAAGGAAAGCATCACAGAAGAGGCAAACTAAGGGAGGAGCTCTTCAGGCCAAGAAGTGGGAGAAACCATTCTATTTAGACAACATAATTGAGCCCAGGCATGAGGCATGTGACGTCCAGGCAGTTCCTTGAGGCTTGAGAAGCGTAAACAACATGGAAGCAAATTGTGAGCACAAATGGTCCATGGAACTGGAATGCTCCACCGAAAGGCTCACCACCTGCCAGCAATGCCTCTTACACATGGGAGTCATGATTAGATTTGTGCTATATTCTATAATTTTCATTTTGTGTTTAGAACACACAATGTTTAACTTAAATTAAGCTTTGAGAATAGCATGATGCACTGACAACATGAAAGAAGAGATGAAAAATACCTTGGGGGAATACAATCTTACTTTTAAAAGGTCTATATGTCATCATACAAAGTTCAGGAACACCAGTGTTGTGATTAGTTATGATTTTCTTTGAAAATAAAATAATTTAGTAATTTTTATACACATTGAGCCTCGTATTCAATCCTCAGTTTCTGGTTTTACCAGAAAATTGTAATTACATTTTTATAGAGTAAAAAGATGTGTAAGAATACCTCCATCATGTACCTACATACATTTAAAGAGATTGATATTTCCTACCAGAGATTATTATGTTAAGAGTTGAACATGAGATCCTAAAAATACAAAAAAAAAAAAAAACAAAAACCCAAAAACATTTATTTAAAAAAGTTAGACACTTCTTTTGGTTAAGACTAATCATCTTTTTATTTTAAAAAGGAGATATTCCTACAATTATTAAGCAATTTCTCTTGATCTAATCTTTAAAAATAAGTTTACAGTTCTAGAAAAAAAAGCTTTCATTTTGAACATAGTTGATGGGAGGAAACTTTTAAATAAAAAACATTTGGTTAAAGTTGCCTGGAACTTCAGAAAGGACTGACCTCCAATCATGGCAGCAGGGGTACCCAGAATCAGTTATAAATGTAGTTGGTCACTCAGTGACCACTGGCCTCACTCAAAAACCTGTCAATATCAGGCATGTGTTTCTGAAAGACAGTTGGATCAGAGACAAGTTCATTCCAAAACACATGCCTGGGAGTGACAGCCAATCAACAACAATCTCATTCTAACAACCATGCTGCTCCAGGCAGCCCACCTCTTGCTTCTGAAACTCTGACAGCTCTTAAACCCCACTGTTTTTTAAGACCCAGGTAAGACCAGCAGCTGCTCCATCACGTAGATTGTGCCTGACCAGCCCAGGTCTCCTACTATAGGAAGCAGGACATTCCAAACCTGTGTTTATATTTCAGACACTAAAAGTTCATAATCCTTTGGGAAGAAGTTTTAAAGTCTATTCTTATATACTAGTCTAATACTTTTATATCACTTAATAAAATTCAAATGAAGACTGTAATTCCCTTGATCCATCTTACCATAATTAAAACTATCATAACTACTGGCATAGGAATAAATAATGAGTAACCACAGTATAGGACTTTCTCTCTCAGTGAAGACAATTCATGTAATAGTATTAGAAAGAGCCAACAAAATCTCCCCAAATGTACATAGTGGCTAGGTACAACTGTCAGCATAAACCCATGTAAAACCATTTCATCAATGAAAATCAGTCTAAAGTTTAAAATAATAAAACAGGATGAACTCCATTCACTCCATAAATATTAATGGATATTTATCAATCAGCTACTTACTAGGAGTTAGGCTCTTTTCTAGTCACTGAGGATAGGGCAGTGAACAGAGAAGAAACCTACCCATGAGAGTAAAGTAAACACACAAAACAACAAAGACACAAAAGCTTTATGTTTGCCAGAGGAGAAAAACAGAAGAAGCAGAGAAGGAGTGATGGACATAGCAGAGGAGGAGTGATGGATGTAGCAGGATGAGGAGGAGCAATGGATGTAGCAGGTTGAGGAGGAGTGATGGACAAAGAAGGATGAAGAAGAGCTATGGATATAGCAATAGAGGAGAAATGACAGACAGAGGAGGAATGATGGACATAGCAGGATGAGGAGCAGTGATGGAGAGAGCTGGATGAGGAGGAGCAATGGATATAGAAGAATTAGGAGGAGCGATGGACAGAGAAGTAGAAGAAGAGTGATGGAC